AAAAGGGGAAGGGAAATTAGAGATGTAAACCCACAGGATTGGGCAACCAATGGGCATCAAGTGGTTGATTTCTTGCTGATTATAAGACAGATTGTATGTTTTATAATGAGTTTCATGTCAATTTTCAAAGATCCGATTCACAAATCACAATTCACAATGAAACTTGCCCTTTTAACTCTCCCAAACCACCATGCTACACACACGTATCTCAGATTGAGACATTTAAAGTGACGAGTCCATTATATAACAAGTTTAAGACTTTATAATGGAATCCAAATATAAAAGCATATTTTTAAAAAGAGGAAAAAAATTATTCCACATATACCTCAAAACAAAAAATAATCCCTACAATTCTAAATATAAGAACCAGATCAGTAGATCACTAATATTTGTAGAGTTATGAAGACAATTATTTATTTATAAAAATTTGTGTTCATTTCGTTAAAGTGATCCTCTAAATCACTTCAGTGGATACTATTTCTTGAATAGAAAACTTTCTTAATATGTGCAATGAATGGGGAGAGTAGCAAAAAAAATTATAATTTTGAAACATCAAGTGGATTAAGATCTTATATTTAAAATCAAGAAAAATTCCTTTACTAACTCTTATACTAAGAATTAAACTTTAGAGGAAGTAATTAATAATTGCAAAGATATTATAATATGTATACGTAAATAATTTTTTTGGTAAAGCATTTTCGTTGCAAATACTAAAGCGGGGTTTATAGTTGGGCAACCAAAAAGATAAATATATTTTTTTATTACCAACAAATCCATATCAGATATTGCTTAAAGGGTATTAATAGTAAGTCCTTTCACATTGACCCAACCGCCACTCGTAATTTCAAATACTATTGAAATTATCATTCATTAATTTGTACAATTTCAGCTTTAAAACATTCTTAAGAGATTGCAGGACTTGGCCCTGATTTTAACAAGAGTTCAGAACATTATTTAATCTCTAGATAGCAACATGTCTCATTTATGAACTTAAAATTTTCTTAACAGAGAATATTTTTTCCCAAAAAAAAATGAAGAGTGTTATAGTAAGATAAGCCATATGCATCATGCTTTGTCTTCCAAAAGAATTTGTATATAATTAAATATATATAAAAGCATGACAAGTGCAAGCTCAATTAAGTAGGTATAGATAGTGCAACCACTTTTTACGAGAAAAAGTAGGATAAGTTTCTCATTCCATTCCTAACTTCTCTTCTTATATAACCCTTCGCTTTTCACTTCATATCTATCTCGTTTATATCTCTGCATTTATAATATATATTTATAATTTAATTTTATGAATCTTGATTGAGGATAAGATATATACCGCTTCAAATCATTAAAGCAACTAAGCAACTAAGCACCTTCCTCAAATTCTGGAGGTTTCTTCCATAAAATTAACAAGTTCGGAAATTCCGCATGAAAGCGATTAACACATTGTATATATATAACTCGTTGATGAGAGCCATATAAAATTTTATACTACTGAACCTTCCTCAAGCTTACCTAGAAACTACTGAGAAGTATTGTCACTTTAGTGAGATGTTGAAAAGAGAAGAAGATAGGGTCAAAGAAATATTTTATTAGATTTAATTGGTCACGAAGCTTTTCTCTAATGAGTCTCAGGGGCCATAATTAACTTCGGAGCGAAGGGAACACGAATTCGAATCAAACCAAAGATAAATTAAAGGAGTGCACTCACACTTAATTAAAATATTAATTTTGGATCAATTAATGTAACGTACTTTTAAACTCTAAAACGATCAGCGTATAAACCAAAAACCTACCCCCACTAGTTGCACTGTGACCCTTCCAAATTCTAATTCTAAAATTATGAGAGCAAGCGAAAGTAATGTCATTTATGAATTTTTTTTCATCTTTTTGGGCATAAAAAGTGATTACCTCAGTGTATAAATGTATTGGTGAAACTTATTTAATTGTAGACGGGTACTTCAATTGGTTATACAAATGACGCACAACAGCTGAGACATTAATTGGTAGGTTTTAACAACTAGAGTAGGTATGCAGCTCAATTTGCAACTTGCAAAAAGATATTGCACACCTTTATTTATGTAATAACTTGGAAATTTTCTTACTATATATTTCGTACTTAATAGTTTAAATTCAAATTCATCGATCCTTGAGATGTGATATGTGCAGAAATTACTAGAATTCTCAATATTTGACCAAATGTAAATTAAAAATATCTGCAATTCAAATGACCGATTTTAATTTTATAAACATTAGTCAAGTCAATCATTTTCCTTCGAATTAGCTCTCTCTCTCTCTCTCTCTGTGTATATTTAAATTTTCGTTACAATGGAATAAATAAAAGTATTTTCGCTGAACTTATTTTTGTTATTTTTTTAATGTGTGCATTAAAAAATCATAATATTTTTTCTCGTAGCTCCTCCAAGTCTTGTCTATCTTATTTCTTCCCCTTAAGCTCTTCTTTATTTGTGTGATCTTCCATGACGGGATCGGTTGATACTTGGGTTTTGAACAATCATATAGTTATGCTTATCCTCCTCCTAATACAACAATTTCAGAGTTAAAATCAAGAGGCTATTAACCAAAGAACAAACGAATAATTTTATAAAAGACGTGTGACTTTTAATCTCGACGTAGAAATTAAACTACCCCTCGCCACCCCATCTACCATCTAGCTAGAACCGTGAGATATAGGAGTGTAAATAAATTCCTGCAAATTATGAAGTTCATTGTACAGATGTTTAATAGCATGACTTATTACTCACATTCTATATGATTATTGAATTATGATGTCGGCACTTTCAAGTATGTAACATATTATTTGAAGCAGTAAATTACTTTTCAACATATTTTAACTTCAATGAATTAACTTACAATTTTAAATAAACTTGTGCATGTTTTCGCATGCGTTTCTATGGAGTTCAAAATAAAATAAATTATTCATAATTTATGAATAATATAACTTTGTATATACGCATCATATGATTAATCATGTAATCTGCTGGAATCGTCGTGTAATTGGCAATCCTGACAAAAAAAAAATCTAGCTGAGCAGGTCAATCATACATGAGAATTAATTTCCCTTGAAACTTCATGTGCTTAAAAAAATCACTTCCTCTGTAGAATGGGGATGGAAACTACGGTAAGGCTATTAACAAAGACTTTGCTCCAAGATGCCTATAATCAATCGATTCGAGCGTGCAAAATTCAACAAGAAAGAAGAAAGGACAAAATACTTTTAAAATGAATCGAAAGAGATCTGTGGGGAGAGGGCTTCAAAATTAAAGTAGCAGAGTAGATTCTAGGTAATAGCTGATGGCCTCCAAGTTAATTTCCACTTTCTTTGGACCATTCCAAGTGAGTGATCCCCTAGCTACCGCTAAAAAGTAGTTTACTTCTTATACAAAACAAAAAGAGAAAACCCTAATTTTTTTTCATTTCAAGTGAAATTGAACGATGAGCTGTAAATGTTAATTCAGATAGCTACAAATATGAGTAGTCTTGATTGCAAATCATCGAAAATGACGTGCCAGACTTATATATGCCTTGCTGTTTTTCTTTTTGATCAAGTACATGCCTGATTTTTAAATTAAAACGAATATTTCCATATTTATAATTGTTTAAATTTATATTTACTTTTCATTTTTCTTAACATTTTGCGGGATAACAACAACATGAAGTTACCCTATACTCATGATTTGGTCCTCTTTAGATGGTAGCGAAGAGAAAGAGAGTACTTTTTTTTTTTTTGGTGGGGTCATTAGTACAAGTCACCTCTTTAAATTTATTATACGAGTGTGTATAATTTTATCCCTAATTGAGTACTATTCTGTAGACCTTTTTTTCAAAATACATATATTAAATGATGTAAAATTAAGTTTTTCTTAATTCTGTTGAAACTTCCCGAAATGCTTTATGGAATTAAAGGAGTACACGTACATATATATCGTTCAAATCTTCATATCGAGAACGCACGTAATATAATTAAGGACGCCAAAGTTACGAGTAATATGCTTGGGATATTCATGGCACCTCACTGTATATGTCTTAATTGAGTGTCCACTTAAATATTGGACAATTAAAAAAAGTTAAAAAAAATGAGAAAAAGTACCCAAGAGAGGGATAGAGACTTTGAAGCTTTGAGTAAATTAAATATACAGCTTTAACAATGACGGGTGCACTTTCTTTGTTAACTAGTGAGTGATTTACGTCTTTGATTATAACATGTGGCCCCTTCATTTTACCAAACATTTTGAGCATTAATTAAAGTCGTTCGTCACTTTTATTTATTTACTTATTTTTCCCCGCATTATACGCCCCTCCATTATTGAAGGTTGAAGTCCCTATCTCAATTTAACTTGATCTAAAACCCAATCAACCCATCAAAGAAAAATAAATAAATAAAGGTATTAGTTAATCTGTACTTTGTTTTATTAAAGAAAGTGACGCATTTGTTGGTCCATGAATAGTACGTAATAGGGACATGTTTTATAATAAACATTTTGTAAAAAGTCTATAATTTCTTAATCTAAACTGATTAATATTAGGTTGCTTCAAATTGTACAAAAGTTAAGACAAATTCTTATGAAAAAGTTCAAAAAGCAAAGTGCACTTGGACAGCAAGAAAACTCCCTCAATAGACCATTGCTTGACCAATGATTTTGGCATCTACCATTTGCCATCCAATAACGACATCTAATCATATTCATGTCATTAATTATATGTCAATTGACATTATTGGCCCTGGTTATCATAATTGGTAATGATCCCGAGGGCATATCCGTCATTTCAGTCGTCCACTTTATTTTCTTAAGACTGCACGCTTTTCTCGTCTCTCTCTCTCTCTCTAATTTGGTTAGGTTTCTTACTATATATATACATCTATAATCATTGATTTCAGATTGTGTTGCGTTATGTTCTGATTCATGGGTCGTCCTCTCCATCTAGAGTCTTGGAATGTGCAGCACAGAAAAGAGCGTGATAATTTAATATAGCAGGAAATTCAAAGCTTAACAAAGGGCTGCTCTATAACTTGGAATAATTAGGGCAAAACAGCAATATCAACTTAATATATATGTTGACAAACTAGCTAGCTAGTAGCTATAACACTTGTAATCACTAATAATAAACTTTCTCTGGTTTTGAAAATACGTAGCCCGATATTTTCCAAAACCGCTCTCTCTCTCTATTTTCCCAAAAAAGATGGAAAAAAAAAGGGGGACTGATATTTATCTAGCTGCTACTTTTAATTTACACAGACAACTTGAAGACAAGTTCTTGACTCTTAGAATTAACTATAATATTTGGTGATGCCGTATTCTATGATTTTACTTAGTTGGTTAATTAATCATCATGATCATTTCTTCTTATTCCGTCGCGAACATAGGAGTGGTATTGCATGGCCATGCAGACGAAGAGAAGGGCTGGAGGGCCAAAATTTGAGTTATATCGTGAAGTTTTTGTCGGAGCTGGGTTTGCTCGGACCGGAGCCATTGGTTCTCCGTGATCACTCGGTTATAGTGATGCAGAAGAAACTGCAACCTGTTGTTGAGTTCCCGGTTCTGGATCCTAAAGCGGGTCACCTGAGACCTTAGGTTCTCTAGATGCTTCTGCTTTCGCATGCGCGACCGCCTCGCTGACTCCCGGTTCGATATCATTCTCCGCCGTTTCCGCTCGTCGAGAATGGATGACGCCACGTGTTTCACATCGGCATCAGAGCCTGCATGGGTTTGGGACTTACCGACCGGCTTGACGGGGGAGGAAAGAAGACTGGGGCTGAAGCCCGGGCCCTCCCAAGGAGTAGGGAAAGAGCCGTCCAAGGCCCAGAAGGGGTTATTGAGGAAAGGATCAGAAGGGGGAAGAGTGGACAGCATGGCTGTGACGCAGAGATTCTGTTCTTACCAGAGGGGGGTTAGAAGGAAGGAGGGGGAAAGGGAAGGGACGGGGTGAGGGTGGGTTTGCTTATATAGCCGAGAATGGGGGTAGACATAAGTAATTAGTAATACCTTCGGGGGTATTTCGGTCATGGAGAGGCATTTTGCCTTATGAGTCACCCGGCACTAAGTGGTGGATTGAGGTGACGTGAGCAAGTGGGTCCCAGAAAAAGATTGGAAAATAAGCTTCGACGGGAAGGAAAAGATGGCAAACGGCATCGTGTAGTACACGTGGAGGGTGTGTGATTGGCTGAGGGTCCAATGATTGATGACGTGGAGGTCGGAGCATTGTGACCCTGTGGTGCTGCATGCTGCCCCCGGCGCGTTCATAAGGGAATGGTGAAACGATGAAACCTTCAGGGCCACGAGAAATTTAAAGGGTAATCGTAAAAGCTGGGTTTAATCAACACTAATTAATTAAATCCGACTGACGTTAATTTAATTAATAATTAATTTTGTTCCCATCATAATTTTAATGACAAGTGGTCTATCATGCATATTGTGATCATTTTTTATCAATATAATTCTGAAGTGTGCGTCCATACCACATAGTCAAGATTTAACATTTGACAGGATGATGAAAATTATTATTGGCTATTTACGGCATGAATTTCAAATATTTTTTAAAAAAATCAAGTTTTCAACAATTGTACTCTCTGTGATTTATGATTAATGACATCTTACTGCGTTTTATATGAGTTTGGAGAATATATTGAATTAAGGAACATCATATGTAACAAACATATTATTATAATTATGATGATGTTGTCATGTTGACGTTGTTGGTGCAATTTGAAGTACTAAATTGTGGTTAATGACCTCAGGAGGGAAAGATGTCATGTGCTTTAAGGAAAAAAGAAATAAATTTGCTGATTAAGTATGTTGAAGGTGAGATGGATTAATTTTATATATGTGAATTGTATATATTACTACCTCCGCTCCTCAATATAAGACTTTGTTTAACTTTTATTTTGGTTCTAAATATAAGACTTCAATCCACCTTATCTCTCATATTTATGTATTCTTTTTCCAAGATAATCCTTCTAATAATTGTAGTCCTAGCCAACATAGTTGATTAGTAAAGATATTTTAGAAAAGATAATACCTATTTATTACAAATAACTAACTTAATATCTTTCTTTAATCTCTTCAAATTAGTCAACTGAATCTTATAATTAGGACTAAATGTAGTAATATATAGAGTTCTGTGCGTAACATTCGAAGTATTGGGGATGAGGGATGAACATGTGAGAATAAAAAGGCTATCAAAACCGTGAGGCAGGTAGGGGAATCCATAGGGTTAATAGAGTAATATAAATTAGATAATTCAGAATTGAAAGGCAGCATTAAGAAAACACTAGTGCATGTTAAGGTTCCATGTGAGATCTATTAACAAATTAATCAACTGAATGTTGCCATCGTCGTACTATTTAAATAGTACTCTTGTTTAAGATTCGCTAATAACTAAAGCAAACTATTAATTTTTTTTTTTTTAAAGAAGTTAAGAACTATATATATAAATATATATATGTGTGCGCGCGCGCACAAAAGGACCCGGCATGTTCATTCTAACTTCTGAGCACATGATGAGTATAGTGAAGGATGTTTTTCGTTCACCCGAAACTAAAATAGATAAGGATGTTTTTCTTTCCCCATTGTTATCAAATTTATATTTTATTTTTTAAATATATGCTACTTTATAGGAAGGAGAACACAAGAAGTGAATTAACTTATAATTAAATTAAGAAATAATGATTTTGGCCAAAAAAAGAAATAATGATTATTTAAATTAAAAAAATAAAGACAATATGTAATTAAATTCAAATTTGAAGTCATTCATATTTTATTTCAAAAATAAATACGACGTAATTAACTTAGGAATATAATTTACTGAAGCTAGTTACGCGAATTTTCGAAATGCAGCTACTAATAATAGGCAACAACTTATTATGATTGTTTAAAACAGAAGGTAAAGAAAAGAACCCAATTTTTTTTTTAAATTTGAGAATATCTGAAATTGATGAAGTTGAATGCAGAAACTTCATCTTTTGTGCTATATATAAATTCTGTCCGCTGTGTGTGTATAAAATATTAACCTTGCGAACATATCTTCGCTAATTTTAGAGGCTTAGGGGCTTAATTAGCTTTAGAGGAATCGGATCATTTTTTTATTATTATTAAGAAAGGCAAGAGCAAAAGCAAATATTGAAGATGGCGCAGCTTTTACAAATGCTTAACCTTATAGAACATAGTTGCTGCGGTGGGGAAAAGGTGTATGATGGTGTACGTACGTTTCGTTTCTTTTTTCTGATTTCTTTGATCTTATGGCCAAATGCTTTTCGAACTTCTGTGTTTCAATGAGAAGTCCACAAAACAGGCGCGCGCACGTCAACTACTCAAATTAGTTTCCGATTCTACTAGAACTAATATTGCCATCTGTAATTGTGTGGAACTAGTTTCGGTACTCATTCTAGTAATAAGCACCATGATGTTTATCGGTAATGGAATAGATGAAATAAATCAAAAAATAGATTTTTGTTCAAGAATAAAATCTTATTGGAACTGTCTAGTTCATCTTTCCGAACCATATCACATCCCGGATATGATGAAATAGGATGAATTGAGATCATATTTTGTAAATACATAATCATCTTGAATATATTAACTATTTCTTTATTTTTGGATATTCTGGAAAGAACAAAAGAAACATCTTGTTCTTTCTTTAACAATTTCTGATCTCTAGTGGACCTCTCAATAGGATTCAAACTCATTTGAAGTTCTAACTATCTATAAAATTTACACCATTCGTATATATTTTTTATGGTCTAAAGTCAAAAATTTTAACTAGTAATTTTTAAATAAAAAATTGTTTCTTTTTGAAAATTTACAATTAAAAAATTACATTTATTTTGGATGAGTATCATTATACTCGGTACTCTATATTACATTTAAATAGTTGAGATTTGATGAGTATCATTATACTCATCATGCGATAAGCACTGAGTGCAACTAATTAATTAACATAAAATAATTAATTTAATAAAAGGTACCTTGACGAAGAGTAAAGGTAGATCGCATAGGTGGGCATCGTAATACTAATTAACAATTATATAAGATTGAAGCCACCAAGCTCTGAAGGTTGTTGGCCTAAGATTGACCCATGTGGGTTTCTCTCTGTGAAGTTACGGCTAGCTAAGATATCATAGAAAGAAAGTGGAATGTGGCAAGCAATATCCATGTGATTGATAAAGGAACATCACTAAAAGTAAAGATGAAGGCAGACACATATATTCATGGAAGGGGAAAGGGAAAAAAACATACCCTCCTTAAAATAAAAAAATAAAAGAGAAAGAAAGGAAAAGACAAAGAGAAAGAGTAGGGCAGTATTCAGAGAATTGTAGGGCTTTTACTTTTTTAGCTTTTTCTTAGCTTGCATGTAGCCGTCCCCTCCCTCCCCACCCCCTAATTTCCATATGTAAATCATGTACGTACATGTTGCGGCAAATTAGATATTCTTTCAACTAACTGTGACAAGATTAAGTAGAGTAAGCGATTTAACACTTTGAAAAAGATCTCAAGCTATAGACAGTGTACTGTCATTTGTGACTTGTGAATAGATAGAGTTACGTTTTTGACAGTTTCTCCTTAAATTGGGTTTGATGGTTCATCTAACTCACATCTAAATCAGTATGTAATACGAGATGTCCACATATAGTGAATACAGAACCATTTTTCTTCCAAATTTATGACAGAAAATGGCACAAAGGTCATCAAAATATATAAATACAAGAAGTTTGAACTGATTTACTACCTCATCCGGTCTTTAATACAATAGGTAGTTGATTAATTTGAGTAGATTAAAAAAATTAATTAAGTTAGTTATTTATAATAAATAAGTGTTGTCTTCCCTAAAATACTTTTACTAATCATGTGTATTAGTTAGAATTACTATTTGATAAAATATTTAACATGTGCAATTACTACAAGGACTACCTTAAAAAAATAGATAAATATGAGAAACAAAGTGATTAGAGTATTATATTTATGACTAAATTAAATGTCAAATTAACTCTTATATTAAGAAAAGGTAGTATTTCTTTTGTTTTATGCAACAAGAAAGTCACTCATTACCAAAACAGCAGCAGCAGAGAAAATATGATATACAAATTATATATACACTGGACCAAAGTTCCCAAAGTCCATTTAATCGTCTCCATTTTCTGGGGACCAAGTGATCTCTACTTTGCAGTCAAGAGTTAGAAATGAAAAAAGCCACGCCACTCATTTCAAAAAATTAACAAATGAAAAAAAGAAAGAGAAAGTGCAATATAAAAGTATCTCTTGATCTGTCTAATGAAAAAAAATGGCACATCAGAGACCCCAAATAAAATCCATGATTCTCTCTTCACATAACCCAAAATAGATAGGATTAATTCAAGCCCCTTTGCTTCAAACCCCACCACATGCAAATGTATCCGAACTCAATAAAGCTACATAGTTGGCAGATCCTTTAATTTGTGACAAAGAGAAGAGCAAAGTGTCTGCCTTATAGAAACCAAATCTTATAAAGGGCTTTAGCAAAAGCAGACTATATATTGCAGAACTGTGTGCTGCATCTTTAACCACATGCACACACCTTATAATGGCTTTGTGGTTGATCATCATATCAATCATTGCACAACAAAATTAAAGGCAGAATATAATCGATCTCTCGCTTATTCCTATGATCAACTATACCAACTGCTTTGTTGGCTTATATTCCAATCCTTCCTTTTGTTTGCCCCCACTTTGGAGTGAAGAATATTAATTAATGTGTTTCGTTGATCTTCTGATTCTCATCAAATATTACACGTCCCTTCAACCACCTGCCTTCCAATTCCATCTCTTTCTTTTCCTTAAAACATATATATGCTACAGAAACTCTCTGCTGGGCAAACAGAAATGATAGTATTTTAATAGACAACCCTTTGCTCAATCCATTTATTTA